CTTTCATCCTTACAAAACAAACAATGCAACTTAAGTTAAACATCATATTTATTGCAATAAATCAGTTAGTTATTTCTGCATTCAAAATGTATAACAGCAAGATGCTCCCACCTCTCATTGTGACACAAAGAACTGCAGAATCTGCACAATTAAAAAAATTACAATCACCAAAATTAAATAATACCAAACAATACATGTTATCAATTCAAATGTAGTTTTCTATTAAAGTAGTACATATTAAAATATCTGCTATTAAAGATTTCTCCATAATACAGTTTTTATGATATACGACTGGGCTTTATTTTATAGATTATACTTTGGGTGGGGCTGTAGAGGACTCTTTTTCACTGTCAACTCGAGCATCAGATATCACATCTGGCACATGCAGAATCATCCCATCCAGATCCTTCCTCAAACACACCTGGCAACCCAGACGAGATCTAAATGATGTACATGCAAAATAGAAATGTGAAGATTTTCCATGAATATTCAAATCCAGCCAAATCATGAATTGTCAAAACAGAAAATTTAAAAAGACGTGCACTTTTTAATGCACAAACACCTTTTAAAATGAAGTCTGTAATTTCTATGTCAAGTGTTGAAACCAAAGGAAAGTTAAATTTTCAAACAAAGATAACTGCACCCAACTCTCTCTATAGGTTGAGCCCATGTTACCATGTGCTGGTCAGGATGCCCATATGAACAGAGTAATGATAGTGAGCTACAGTGTTTATATTTACAGGGGAATCAACCTATGAATGGCTTACTAACTGTTGTCTCAGCATAATTTACATTTAATCATTTTGCAGACACTTTTATCCAAAGCGACTTACAATTGGGCAATACATAAAGCGATTCTTCTTAAAGAGGCAAACAGACACAGGAAGTGCTTGTAATAGCAAGTTTTAGGCATTGTTCAAATAAGCTAGAAAGGGATATAAAATATAGAATAGGAAAATGTATTTCAACATCAAAAAAGATACTTCATCTTTAAACTGAAGTCTGTACAAAAATATCAAAAGCTACTGCATGGCTTCTGAAGACAATTATAAAATGATCTATTGTTGTGTGATTTGGTTCACTCACGTGTCTGTAAGCCCATAAGCCAAGTCCAGCATGTCCATTTCCTCATCAGAAATACGTCCAAGCTTCTTATAAACGGCCTCCTCGAAAATAAGGTGGCACGTAGAGCAGGCCAAAGTTCCCTCACATGCACCTAGTTCAACAACACAAAAGACACACAAAAATATTAGCCTGCAAGCTACTAAGACTCACATTCCACTTACATTGACATGACAAGTATTAAAATATTTCTCTAGCTGTTCACCTCGTTTTACCTTTGGATTACATACACAAAGCCCTGTAAAGCTTTGGCCTGTTCACAATGACCAAATCATTTTTGCCTTTCTATGTCAATCACATATGTTTTTCCTTTGCTATATTTTTGAGGCAACCTGCAGTCCTCATAGACAGAACACTATATGCACTGTAAAAAATGTGTTTCATGTGGATTTATTAAAACCCAAAATATTATTTAATGTAAACTAAATCAACCCGACTACATTAGGTGACACAGGAAGAAACTGCACGTTTTTACTATTTATTGTGTGTGAATGAGATATGCATATTTGTCTGTACAAATAAAACTTACATTTTTACACCATGTACAATATTTGTAAATAACTTACCGAATCCATCAATATCTAGATCATTGTTAACAACAATATCGAGTAGTGATTCTCCTGTTAAAGCTTTCACCGAAATCCTTTTTCCATCTCGATTCAGAAAGTGAACTGTCACCTTCTCCTCAGCCCTGCACAGAGACATTTTTTAAGACTTGGGAATAACCCGTAGTCATCTACGGTTCAATACACAACTACAACAATATCCTGAGCATGAATTCATCTAAGCCCTGATAAAACCCTCCTGAGAAAAGACGATTTATGCATGGAGGCTTAAACACAATGAGGGAGCATGGAGGGGATTTAGGTGCAGTGGTCTTCAGCGGAAAAAAAAAAAGAGATTTTGAAAAATGTCTGCTTATTTTGTCCATATACAGTACAACATTTTGGGGTAATACAGAAGTCCTTTAAGGTCATATTTATGATCAGCAATCATTTGAGATAAACTAACTTGTGTTTGTATGAAATGTGAGAGACCACATGAGTTGCACAGTAGACATGCAAGTACTGGTTTAGATTTTTTGAAAGAAGTTGTTAAGAACTATGCTCAACAAGGCTGCATTTATTTGCTCCAAAATTAACCGAAATATCTGTGATATATTATAACAATTAAAAAATATTCGTTTTCCATTATTATTTTAAAATGTTAATTATTCCTGTGATACAAAGCTGACTTTTTAGCAGTCATTACACCAGTCTTCAGTGTCACATGATCCTTCAGAAATCATTCTAATATGCTGATTTGGTGCTCAAGAAACATTTATCATTATCAACTTTGAATACGGTTGCTTTTGAACTACACTAGTACTTTCGAACAGTAGTGTAGGTATGTCAGTCGTCAGCTGTATGGCATATAGCAATGCCCTGAACAACAGTCAAGATTGTGAAATATTTGACAACTGAATGCCAAATTTGACCATTCAGATCAAGCATTAAAGAGGGTTGGTGTTCGCGTGTGTATAAAATAACATTGAGAAAGCTTCAGTTATCAATCTATTCACCATAACAAGTCTACAGTCACCATAGACCCACAGATAAAACTGAGATAAAGACAGATAACATAAAATAAAGGAGGAACACATTATTACACAATGCACACACACTCACAGTATACTTGTAACCCAATAGCCTTGACCCACAAAAAAAACAAAAAACACAACACAGCTAACCAACATGTTTAACCTATTGCACAACTGGGAAATACAGTAAGCCCCAAAAATAGTTGTGCACTTAAGCCACCCTTAAAATACTTTAATGTCACTTTATTAGACATACAATATCAAACCATGTGTCAAATGCAAACAGATTATGCGATATCATTCAGAGCTTATCTGAACCATGTTTTTAATGACTTGTAACCTACTGATCTCAAGGTCATTTTAGTCGATGTATGAAATCAGCTCTCACATTCACAAAGGTGTAGTTCATCACATAAACTATCAACACTAACATTTGACAACCACTGCATTTTCAACATTATGTCGATTGTTTTATCACGTGAAGCCTAAGAAACAGGAAACGGTGGCATGTTTTATTTGACAGAAGCGCTAAATCTTCTTTGAATAAAAAAGCTACTCATTTTGACATGTTGTTATCTAACCTAAAGACGTTACGTATTTTATGTAATCCACACTTTTCGGAACACTACATCACTGCTGGCAAAATTGCTAACATGCATAAGTCCCAATGACTCAATACTTTTTAAAAGACAGTTTCTTACCTTAGTGAATTTGTTAATGTGTTTATTCCTCTACTGTGTGTGTAGCTCCCGGTCACGCATTGAGGAAACGCTCTCGTTTGACTGAATGTTTGGTGCGCCGCTTTACGCGTCACAGCCGCTCGCTGGAGAAACACTCTCAATGCACATGCCGACATTGTAATATATATTGTTGACAGACCGCTGAAGAACTAACTACCACCGTTGCATGTGTGCTGGAATTAAACTTTCGACTCTTTATATGTGTCGGAAATAGAGCTGTTCTTCTTCTTATTTTTTTTTCTTGGCTTTTGCAACTTGTAATTATTGCATATCGCCACCTACTGTACAGGAGTGTGTAAAGAGACGTGGCAGATACCTTACTTGGGGGGAAAAAACAACCCAATTTGAAACCAAACCCCAACCCCACAAAGGGTTATCTTTTCGTTTCTAAATTCTTCTTATTATTCCAGTATTTTCAAGAAATATAAACAAAGCTTTGAGTCTATTTCTTTCCATCCCTTGTTCTCTAAGAATATCTTCAATTTTATTTTCTTCGTCCATTTCCTTCCATTTCTGCCTGTATTCATGGTATTTATTGCATCTAAACAAGACATGTTCTACATCTTCCTTGATTTGACTGTTGACATCTTGTACATAATCCATCACTCTTCCCTATTGTCTGCAATGTATCATTCAATCCAGTATGACCTAATCTCAGCCTTGAGTATACTACTTATTCTCGCCTGTTTGCCATATTTATCCCTTTTCCTCCTACTTTTGCTTGGTTTATGTGCTAATGTTTAGCTTTAGACTCAGACTCCCATTCTTTTTGCCATATTTGCATTATTTAATATTTAATCTTGGCTTTAATCTCTCCTTTTCCCATTGAAATATTAATTTCTACTTGCTTTTTCCAATGCTTCTTTTGCTATCTTATTGGCTTTTTCATTACCTTTGATGCCAATATGTGCTGGAACCCAACAAAACTGAACTTCTATTCCTAGATTTCTAATATTTAATAGTATATGTCTATAGTTTCAATGATTAAATCTTCTCTAACTGAAATACTGCTTTCTAAACTTTGTAAGGCTGCCATTGAGTCTGTACATATGACTGATTTAATTGGTTTATTTTCTTCTATATCCATCTTAAGGCTGTAATTATCCCAGACATATCAACTGTAAAAACAGAAAGATGGTTATTTAATCTATAACCCCATTTTTTTGTTAAATTCTGGAATATAAATTCCTATGCCACAATGACCATTTTTGTTTTTTGACCCAT